CAGGCTGGAATACTCTATTGCTACAAAAGTATTTGGGAAATAGAACATTTAAAATATCCAAGAACAAGCGTTTGAGGGGAGGAATGAGACACTGGGATGAAAGCGGAGTGGGATGAGACAATGGAGGACATTAAATACAAGTCTAAGGGTTAGGTCTTTTCACTAGATAATTTAATAGACACGGGTATCAGTATTTACTTACAGAATCTAAAAGTTCTTTCAAAGTTGACATGATGACATGGCACTAAAGGTCTTAGAGGTTGATAATCAAAGAAGATAAAAACCATTTTGATATGAAAAAGGTCAACTAAACATAGCAAACTTATGCTGAATATAATCTCCCTGTGTCAATTTTTCTTTCCCCAAAGTGGAGAGAGGCAGAATAGATGTAAAAGAAAGCAAGACATGGCAACCTGCTGACCACAGATGGAATTTATGATAGGCCTGACAGAGGCCGAATGCCTCTTGCTGTGCTCCACCCAAGGGTTTTTAGCTTGTAGGTTCTATCCAGCTAGTTTCTGAACCAACCCTAGAGAGGTTTGAAAATCAGTTAGGTTGCCCATCTCACCAGATGAGATTGCCCATCTCACCAGATGCTGGGTTCCAACTATGTGCCTATAGACTGTAGCTGCTCTTCCCTCCACCCCACAAACCCCATTGATTAGTGTTCTGGTTTAGAGTCTTGTGCCTGTTTTCAGAACTAGAAATAAATGAAAGCTAGTGTACTAGATTGCATGTCAACATTTGTGTAGTACTCTAGAATAATTTCAAAACTGACAGTCTCTTTTTCATTTAATATAAAACAGAAACAAACCTTTGTTCCCCTCACTTCTCACCCTCCATAGCTCTCCCTAATCCTCCAGAGGCTGGAATGTGTTCTCTGTCTCTCCAGTTACCGGTGGGATTTAACTTCAACCTTTTAACCTGGACAACCCTCTTGAAAACCTCACTCTATTACCTGTCCAATTTTATGTTCTCCATTTGCCAAGAAATTTTCACCACTTCTCATCCACAACTCTTAAGGCATCATACTTTGAGATTAAAAAAAAAATTTTTTTTTATTTATATGAGAGAAAAAGGAACAGAGTGAGAGGAGAAGGGAGAGAGAAACAGACAGAATCTGACAGGTATTTCTTTATTTATTTCATTCTATCTTTTTTTTTTTGACAGATTTTTGCTATAGGAAGTGTGTGCTTGCCAGAGAGACAGAGAGAAACAGAGAGACAGAAAGCATAAAATCACCTGCTAAGGGGGATGGCCACGCTGCAATCCTCTCTCCTTGACTCTCCTCTTGGGATTTTGGGCATGCACACATATGCGCCTGGTGTGGTTTTTGTTTGTTTGTTTGCTTTGTTTTGTTTTTGAGAGTCTTCTGGGTTTCTTTTTGGTTTTTGTTTGTTTGTTTTTTGCTATAGGGCACGTATGCATGCCAGAAAGACAGATAGACAGAGAGACAGAAAGTGAGAAATCATCCCCCGGGGGGGATGACCACACTGCCGTCCTTCTCCTCCATTCTCCTCTCGGGAACTTGGGCACGAACACACACATGTCCAGCGTGAGTTTAAGCCACCGGGTCCAGGACTCGAACTGTGGTCGACTACATGGGAGTCCAGCGACATAGCCATTATGCCAACTGCTGGTCTCATGCCTGGTGTGTTTTAAGCTGCCAGGTTGGGGACTTGAACTGTGGTGACTATGTGGAACTCCAGCGACGTAACCATTACACCATCTACTGGTCCCCTATAGGTAATTCAGACAAGGTTTCACTAAGTCATGATCCTCCTGCTGATAGTCTCCAAATTAGCTAGGATTACAGGCAAATGCAGCTGTACGTGACATGTCCAGATCAGCCCAGGAACCAACAAACCTAGACTTCCCACATATCTTTTAGCCTCCCAAGAGGTTGCACTATCTGTGTACCACTGTTGCTGGGCCACCTGACCTATTTTGAAACCATCTGGACATCATACCTTGATCTCTAGGGACCTTCCTTTTTTCTGAGGAAGACTTATTCCTCAAGCCTCAGCTCTGTATATTCTTGGTTTGTTCTCTTCACCATACTGGTCTGTTGCTGTTGAGATGCCAACAATCTCTGACTAAGGCCATTCAAGTGACAGAAGTTCTGAAAAGAATACACCGAGTGCACAGGGTTTAACTTATAAAAAGTCTGTAAAGCACTCTGGGCTATACGGAAGTTAAAAGGTCACAGAGTCACTGTTTTTCAAAGTGAAATGAGAAAGTGACTTCTCGAGTTTCAATATCAGGGACCAAAGACTGATCATAAACTGATCTTTACCTTCCCATTCTGGGGCACAGATACATCAGGAAAAATTATTTTTGAGCTGCCAGGTGGCATGGTGGTTAAGTGCGCTGGACTCCCACATGGCCTACCGTGGTTTGAGTCCCAGACCTAATGGCTTGCTTTCTCGCTTTCCCTCCCTCTCATGCTCTGTCCCTCTCTGGTCAAATTAAAATAAGTAAATAAATAAAGCTAAATAAAATAATGCTTTTTTAAAAAATTATTTTCAGTGTGGAGAAAAAGTAGGTAAGACTTTTCAAATGGTGAAAAATAGGGTCATGAATAATTCATTGTCCTACTTTGAATTCTTGTTTAGAAAAATGAAATGATAAATATTAAAGTAATTTTTAAGCTGCACAGTGATATATGGGTTTTATTTTTAGTGGGCAAAACTAAAAACTCACTGTGTGAAATATTTTGCATATATTATCTCTTGCCATTCCTACAGTAGCCCAATAAAGTACATATAATTTTTATTCCCAGTTTAGGTATCAGGAAAACAGGTCATAGTAATTTGCTAAAGAAATACAGCCACATGCAGAAGAGTTGCTAATGAACCTTTAGCTATCTAACTTCTAAGCCTGAACACTCAACCAGATAACCAGTCAACTCACGGCCACCAGGTGGCATGGTGGCTGAGGGTGCTGGACTCCCCATGGCCAACCACAGTTCAATTCCTGAACCTGGTGGCTTGCTTTCTCACTTTCCCCCTCTCTTTGTCTGGTCAAAATGGAAAATAATAATAATAAAGTTAAATAAAATAAAATTAAAAAAGAATAGTTTTTTTAAAAAAGAAAAGAAACCAGTCAACTTGCCCATTTTTATTTAAAAACAAATCAACACTTTAAAATTATAATTGTGAGGAGCTAAATTTAAAAAGAATATGTTAAAATTATAAAAATCTGTGACCAGCAGTTAGCGTAACGGCTATGTTGCTGGACTCCCATGAAGTCGACTGCGGTTGGAGCCCCAGCCCCAATGGCTTAAACTCAAACCAGTCGCATATGCATGCTTGCCCAAGATCCAGAGAGGAGAATGGAGAAGAAGGGATTGGGGCATGGCCATCCGCGGAGCAGAGTGACGGGACTTCCTGCTTTCTGTCTCTGTTTCTCTCTGTCTTTCTGGTGAGTGCATGAGCCCTATAGCCAAAAAACACCTCTCCAAAAAAGGAAAAAAGAAATTTAAAAAACCTAAAATTACAACTTTGAGAAGCTAAATACAAAAAGATATAATTATTATTATTTATTTAAATAATGATTTTATTTATTTATTTATTCATTTTTAATTTGACCAGAGAGGACAGGGTGAGAGGGAGAAAGAGAGAAGGTGAGAAAGTAAGCCATCAGGTCTAGGACTTGAACCATGGTCGGTCATGTGGAATTCCTGCACCCTTAACCACCATGCCATCTGTTGGCCACAGACTACGTACGATTTTTATAAGCACAAAAAAAAAAGAAGAAAAAGAAAAACAGAGACCAAACTTCTAAAAGCTTGTTATCTGTAACCTAAGATAAGTTTTTTTTAAAAAAAAAAAACAGCAAAAGTTGTTCACTGTGGATCTGATAATTCAATTGAAGAACCTAGTCAGAACCTTGTAAATATAAAATATGCACTTTCTCCCTAAAGATATAATGAATATCTAATACTCAGCAGGTACCATACTAAGAACTGAGAACAGACAGGGATGAGCAAGAGAGATGTGGCCCTGCCTTTGAGGAACATATGGACATGAAAGTAACTCCATATGTAAATACAGTGTCATATGGCAAGTGTGATAAAAGGGAGGTAGAAAGGAGTAAACGCAGGGGAAACGTAACTCAGCTAGAGACAAGAGAAAAACTCCCTCTTTGGAATTAGAGCCAGGGCATGTGAGAAGCAGACAATAAGTGCCCCATGCAGAAGGAAGAGCATGCACCATGGATCAGAGTGGAGATGAGAAACGGAAGGAAGGTGAGAAGGAAGCCAACAGAATGTGAGACAAAGAAAGTGCTGAGGTTTAGGACTAGTGAGGTGGGCAGAGACTGAATCCTGCAGGACTGTACAACGTACTGAAGACTTAGACTACATCTAAGTGTGATGGTGAACCTATTTAAGAAAAAAGATTCCATCAGATTTTAGTTTTACAAGTACAATCTGACTAGAGAATGAAAAGTAGATGGGAGTGGGCCTGAGGTAAGAGTGGAGCTCTGTTAAGAAACTGTTGCCGGGAACCAGCAGTTAGTGTAATGGCTATGTCGCTGGACTCCCACGTAGTCGACCGCGGTTCGCGTCCCGGACCCGGTGGCTTAAAACTCACGCCAGGCATGTGTGCGTGCGTGCCTAAGATCCCGGGAGGAGAATGGAGGAGAAGGGATTGTGGCATGACCATCCCCCCTGGGGGGTGATTTCTTGCTTTCTGTCTCTATGTCTCTCTCTGTCTGTCTGGCGAGCGCGCGCGCCCTATAGTGAAAAAAAAAAACCTCTCAAAAAAAAAAAAAGAAACTGTTGCCAAAATCCAGGAGATAGGTGGTGATGAGTGGGGATACGGTAACAGATGTGGACAAGAAGAGTAGATACTTATAGATAGAATGTGCCGCTTTTAAGCTACTATCATTTATTCATTAGTATGGGTTCCATTCATAACTCACCTGGTTGCCCACCAATAATAAGTGTTCTCCGAGGAGAAAGTCTTTGAGCATATCTTCCATCACTATCATGTGCTAAAGAAAAAAGAACTAGAGATTAATTATGTTTGGCATAATCGAGGTGAAATACAAAAGATGACCATAAAGATAATTTCATGGGATGTAAAACACCTACTGTGATACACAATACCCAACAATTTGACAGCAGGTGGTATGATGGTTAAGTGCTAGACTTCCACATGGCTGATTGTGGTTTGAGTCCCAGACCTGGTGGCTTGCTTTCTCATCTTCTCTCTCTCTCTGTATGTTTCTTTCTCATGAACACACACGCCCTATAGCAAACATACATAAATGTAATTTTAAAAAAACACACAAAATTAATGCTGTGGTTATAAGTATGTTACGTAACCAAATGGGTCACTGATACTGCAAACCTGAACTAGTCCACCTGAACAAGACTAAGCAGCTAACCAATATTTTAGAACTTTTATAACTCAATCCCAGTATTATTCACCTATTCAATTATATAGCATTGGCTTATAATTTAATATTTAGATTGATCCTTGCTAATGTAAATATACGAAGATTTCTTAAAATAACTGGAGATGTCCACAACACTTAACACTGACTTGTCTTAACTCTCACCTTCAACGGTATATATATCTTCAGAATTAAAAACATTGTTTACCTTTCATCTTTTATTTGAATTATGACACAATATAATAAAAGAACTAGATTAAAGTTGTTCACAGCAGCCACAGAGGAAATTACATTGCTGTTTTGTACCTTGAAAAATAGGACACCTGTAAGTAGGTTACAAAGACTCATCAGGGGTTGGGGCAGACCTACATCCCAGCACAGTTAATATCCCTATCACTTCCTTCCATTTTCTGTAACAAATCAGTAACAGTCTCATAAGTAACTGAAGTTATTGAGATTCCCTATTTGTAGAAAAGACAAATTAACCTTTCGTACCTTTGCACATGCTACAGCTATTTTTCTAGTATGCCACTTGTTTTTCTTTTTTAACGTTTTCTCTTTTGACAGTCTGAAATTTTTCCTTTTATTTGTCAAATTTAGCAATACTTTCTTGGAAAGAAAACTGAGAAAGTTTTTTTTTTTTTTTTTCCTCTTGAGTTCAAGAACTAAGGAACATTCTCTAATGTTTATCTTCATAGTTTTTATTATTCAAAATACTTTTACAATACATAAACCATGGAACTAGCGTTTTAACAAGGTTTGCAGTTAGGTGAGCATATCCATTTACTATCCATCTTGGGGTACTTCTAAGAATAAAAAGGGACACTATTAATAACTATGCTGGGACAACAAATGTAAACAGAGATTGTCCTAAGCAAACAGATGCATAGTCACCCTACTATAAAAGGGAGTCTAGACCATCATTTTAAACTGCCTTTTGGTGTTAATAGAGTCTGGTTATATACTCTCTAAGTAAGATGAAAAGGCAGTGCCAATTTCTAAACAAAACTAAGGATCACTAGCAATAAATCGGCTAATCTACATGAGTAATGGAGAGAAAAGTTGGAAGGAGCACCTGCCATGCCAGGTGAAAATAAAAAACAAAAACAAAACAGTGTATTGTATATACTGAAAAACAATCCAAACTATACTTGTGTTCTTAATCTTCTTTATTCTCATGTTCTCCTACTTCAGGCCTTCATCACACCTAACTATATTGTTCAAATCAATTCCTTCCATCTATCCTTCCTTCTCTCTCTCTCTCTCTCTCTCTCTCTCTCTCTCTCTCTTTCGTAAGGATAGAGAGACAGAGACAGGCAGCCCTAGCAGGATCCTCATGTCACAATCCGACCCCAGTTTCAGCCAGACTGGATCACAAGCATTCACGCATGCCCAGCACAGTCAGGGAGTTCCGAGGATAGGAACTCACACCCCTTCCCATGTGGGTCCACCAACTATGTCCTCTCTGAGGGAAAATCTCTGTCTTTCATCTAGGGAGCCAGATCCCACATGACCAACCCCAGTTGGAATCCCAGCCTCAGTGGCTAGAAAATATGCTAGCATTTGTACATTCATGCTCAAAATTCTGAACGGATAAAGAAATGGAGGAAAAGGAATTGCAGTGTGACCATGCTCTAGGGGGTTTCTCTCTCTCTCTCTCTCTGATGAGTGCATGTATCCTCTGGCAATTAAAATAAAACTGGTTTGAAGGGCTGGACAGTGGCAAAGCAGTAAACCATAATGCTTTATGAGGCCGACTCACAAAAGAAGGTCATATGTTCACATCTAGAGACCTCCCTAAGTATACCAGGCACACATGTGCCCATGATCAGTGCTGGCTTAAAGAAGAGGGTGAATCACAGTGTTAACCCAATTGGGTATGCTGTCTCTCTGTCTCTCTCTTGCTTATGAAAAATTTTAAATAAACTTTAAACTTTTTTTGTTTGTTGGACAGAGTATAATATCATCAAATGAAATAAACTTTAAAAAATAATCTGTTTTGGGGTCAGCAGATGGTATGGTGGCTAAGATGCTAGATACCACATGGCTGACTCTGTAGTTCAAGTCCCAGACCCAGCAGCTGGAAAAAGATACCAGGGGCATATACATGTGTGCCCAAATCCTGAGAGGAGAATGGAGTAGAGACTGTAGCATGACCATCTCCCCTGGGGAGTGATTTCTCACTTTCCCTCTCTCTCTCCAAAGAGTACACACGCCTTATGGCAAAAATCAACAACAACAACAACAAAATCAATTTAGATGCAATATGGTAAAGGTATAACAAGGCACAGAACAATAAGATAGCATAGAAGTATCTCAATCTGCAGGGACCAGCAGTTGGTGTAATGGCTATGTCACTGGACTCTCATGTAGTCAACCATAGTTCGAGTCTTGGACCAGGTGGCTTAAACTCACGCTGGGCACATGTGCATGTGTGCCCAAGATCCTGAGAGGAGAATGGAGGAGAAGGGATTGTGGCGTGGCCATCCCTCCTGGGGGGTGATTTCTTGCTTTCTGTCTCTCTGTCTCTCTCTGGTGAGCACACACACACTATAGCAAAAACCTCTCCCCCCCCTTAAAAAAAAAGAGAAGAACCTCAATCTGCAGAGGCACTGAAGAAAGACTACTGCTTCAAAGGTAAAGTACAGCATAAAAAGAAATAGTAGTACACATAACAGAGCAAATTTAATCAAGCCACTGTCCCCAGAACTGGTGAAGCTCAATTTTTTTATTAATGGTTAATCATAACGTGTTATAAAGAGAAGGTACATTTGGAGACAGGTTACAAAAAGTCCCTCAGGGCCATTGTGTAAAGTTCACTGCAGTCCTGCAGTCTTTGATGTCTGTGTCACAAATACCATGGCAACAGACCTGTGTTCAAGGGCACAATGGTCTTTGTTATTACTGCATTTTCTACATTCTCATATGCTGTGAAGTCTTTTCAACCTTTACTGCCACAGAGATTTTGAAACTGTCACTTACAACAGTTTTCTGATTCTTTTTTTTGTTTGTTTGTTGGACAGAGTATAAGATCATCAATGCTTGAAAATAGTATATTTTCCTTATAATCATGGTTTTGTCTTTATCTGATTGGAAAGGTTTTTTTTCCCTCCTTTGTGTCTCATAAGTATCTTTAATTTTTTTCATTAGTCTACTGGTAGTGTAAGAGCATTAATGCCCCAGAAGAAATAAAACTTAAATCATGCCACATGTGTGTGCGTGCATGCCCAAAATCCCAGGAGAAGAGCAGAGGATAAGGCACTGTGACATGGCCATACTCCCTGGGAGGTGATTTCTCACTTTCTCTCTCTCCATTTCTCTCAGTCTCTCTCTAGTAGTGCATGCACCCTATGGCAAAAACCTTTAAAAAATTTTTTTAAAGGAAAACTTAATTGGTCACAGAATGAATACAAAGTAAATCAAGGTTATGCCTTTTCCTAATAAAATTATTAGAAATTTAAAAATTTCTAATGAAGATTTACATTAAGAGAAGAATTTACCTAGGTACTTTTTAGACTGTTAATATAATTTAAGGATATAAATTGTGGTCCTCACTGAACAATAAACAGAACTGGAGAACTGCACATTTAAAAAAAAACTATTACTTAATTTTACTAACTCCTTAATAGTGAAAATAGTAAGCAAAAATTCTTCTAATTTTATTTGCATAGGTAACATTTACTTGCAGATTAGTGATGAAGCATTAAAGGAAAATTCACTTGTTTATTATTATAAAAAATACAAATACTTGGCAGAAAATCTGGGAAATAAAAAAAAAATCATGAGTATTTTTCTCTGAAAAAATTCTTACTAAAATGAAATCAACAATAAAGTTTTCTAATCCCTTCTCATCTATTCTCCTCTTGGGATTCTGGGTGCACCACGCACACACTCCCAGAGTGAGTTTCAAGCTGCCAGGACTGGGACTCAAACCAGTGTCTTAACCACTATGCCACCTACTGGCCCCTTATTTCTGTATCTTAATGGAAGGTTCGTAATTATTAGTTAGTTTACAAGTGGAGAATTCTTTATCTTCCATTTTAAAGAAAGTGAAACAAAAAAAGGTAACAAAAAAACCTAGGAATTTATAGGAAAGAGTATTAGGGAAATGATGCATTGAATGCATCTCTCTTTAAGCTGCTGAAATGATTTAACTAACTAGCAAGCAAAATGAAGGGTGAGTAGCACTATTTTGTTATTAATTTAGTAATGTATTCATTATATTTACCTAGTGTAGAGATGTATATGTGTAAGTGTATATAAAAAACTTTTTTTGGGGGGAGAGGTTTTTGCTCTAGGGAGCATGCACTCGCCAGAAACAGAGGGAACCAGAGGGACAGAAAGCAAGAAATCACCCTCCAGGGGGGATGGTCATGCCACAATCCCTTCTCCTCCATTCTCCTCTCGGGATCTTGGGCACACATGCATATGTGCCTGGTGTGAGTTTAAGCCACTGGGTCCGGGACTCAAACCATGGTCGACTACATGGGAGTCCAGCGACATAACGATTATGACATCTTCTGGTTCCTAAAATTTACTACTCTAATCATAGCAACAATTCCTCTAATTTTCAATTATCTTTGGAAAGATTTTTAAGTTTTATAGTGGCTTAATAACAGATGTTTCTTTTTCTTTCTTCTTTCCGTTGTTTTTTTTTTTTTTTTTCAGTTTTGCTTTGGCACACATGTTTACCGCTTACTGAGAGAGCGAAAGTGAGAAGTCATCCCCCTGAGGGATGCCCAGGCTGCAATCCCTTCTTCATTCTCCTCTAGGGATTTTGGGCACACTTGTGCCCAACAACATGTATTTAAAGCCACTGAGTCTGGAACTTGTAGTGCTCAGTTGGCCATGTAGGATTCAGGCATTTTTAACCTCTTTGCCACCTGCTGGTCCAAGATGTTTCAACACTTCATTTAGTATCATCTGAATCGAATTTAGGATTACAAAAATAATTACACGCTGATTTCACTTGAATCATAGTTAAATTACCACAATGTATGTGATTTATCCAAGAATGCAAAGCAATGGTCTTACCTGGATATTGTCATAGAATAGAACATCAGGAACTTTCATTTTCTCATGGGCATTATAGATTGGTGCACTAACACTGCCAATCCTCAGAGACCCAGACGCCACTTCACCTAAACATTTCACACAAGGCACAGAATTACTCATAGCACCATCCTCAGAAAAGCCAAGCCAACCAACACAGCATTTTTTTTTTTCCCCAACACAGCTTCTGTAAACACCTGCGGGCTCTTTAAGGGATTTTAATTTAACATCTACAGAAATAAGCCTGAAAGTGGTAATAAAACACCACGGTTCTATGAACAGCTTAAAATAGTCCAAAATGTAATAAAATTTTATTTAAAACATTGTAGAAATAGCAAACAACATAGAGATGGGATTGAGAGGGAGATTTAAAACCCAGCACACAGTTAAGCTACTTCCATGGCAAATCGTCTGGTCAGAGATGATAACACATACCTAACCCAAATATAAATTCAAAACCTCAGAAGTACCATGAATATTATTTTGGGGCTTCCCTTAAAAATGACTACAAGATAATTCCTTTGATATCTAGTAAAAAAAAAAAATACAGATAAACTGACCTCTCACAGACCTCTTAAATTCCCGTCTTCAGGGATGGTCCCAAGATCCATATGTTCAAATAAGCACACAAGTAATTCTGACACCCAGACAGGCTGGGAACCTCTGTCTTACAAAATCAATTATTCTGTAATAATTATTATTGCACTATTTCCTATGGCTTTAAATAGGCTGGCCTAGAACAGATTATGAGCTCCTTAAAAGTAGGAAACTAAACATGTCAAAGGCAGAGAACACGTCACATGTATATCTTGGACAGTAGCCAGATACACATGTTCACTGCCTGCCATGTTCTAAAATAAATAATAATTATAAAATAGTAGTAGTTATTAAAACAGTAATGCTGACCAATCAACAATAGTTATAATTTATTAACTATAAATTAATTATAATTAATTATATGTGCCAAACTAGGAGCATCATCTCATTTTTTCTCATATAGTCTCATATAACTCTCTTAACAATAGGGCAAGAACTATGAGGGGGACCAGCAGTTGGCATAATGGATATGTCACTAGACTCCTATGTAGTTGACTGCGGTTCAAATATTGGACCCAGGGGCTTAAACTCACACCAGGCGTGTGTGTGTGTGTGTGTGTGTGTGTGTGTGGCGTGGCCATCCCTCCTGGGGGGTGATTTCTTGCTTTCTGTCTCTCTGTCTCTCTCTGGTGAGCACACACACACTATAGCAAAAACCTCTCCCCCCCCTTAAAAAAAAAGAGAAGAACCTCAATCTGCAGAGGCACTGAAGAAAGACTACTGCTTCAAAGGTAAAGTACAGCATAAAAAGAAATAGTAGTACACATAACAGAGCAAATTTAATCAAGCCACTGTCCCCAGAACTGGTGAAGCTCAATTTTTTTATTAATGGTTAATCATAACGTGTTATAAAGAGAAGGTACATTTGGAGACAGGTTACAAAAAGTCCCTCAGGGCCATTGTGTAAAGTTCACTGCAGTCCTGCAGTCTTTGATGTCTGTGTCACAAATACCATGGCAACAGACCTGTGTTCAAGGGCACAATGGTCTTTGTTATTACTGCATTTTCTACATTCTCATATGCTGTGAAGTCTTTTCAACCTTTACTGCCACAGAGATTTTGAAACTGTCACTTACAACAGTTTTCTGATTCTTTTTTTTGTTTGTTTGTTGGACAGAGTATAAGATCATCAATGCTTGAAAATAGTATATTTTCCTTATAATCATGGTTTTGTCTTTATCTGATTGGAAAGGTTTTTTTTCCCTCCTTTGTGTCTCATAAGTATCTTTAATTTTTTTCATTAGTCTACTGGTAGTGTAAGAGCATTAATGCCCCAGAAGAAATAAAACTTAAATCATGCCACATGTGTGTGCGTGCATGCCCAAAATCCCAGGAGAAGAGCAGAGGATAAGGCACTGTGACATGGCCATACTCCCTGGGAGGTGATTTCTCACTTTCTCTCTCTCCATTTCTCTCAGTCTCTCTCTAGTAGTGCATGCACCCTATGGCAAAAACCTTTAAAAAATTTTTTTAAAGGAAAACTTAATTGGTCACAGAATGAATACAAAGTAAATCAAGGTTATGCCTTTTCCTAATAAAATTATTAGAAATTTAAAAATTTCTAATGAAGATTTACATTAAGAGAAGAATTTACCTAGGTACTTTTTAGACTGTTAATATAATTTAAGGATATAAATTGTGGTCCTCACTGAACAATAAACAGAACTGGAGAACTGCACATTTAAAAAAAAACTATTACTTAATTTTACTAACTCCTTAATAGTGAAAATAGTAAGCAAAAATTCTTCTAATTTTATTTGCATAGGTAACATTTACTTGCAGATTAGTGATGAAGCATTAAAGGAAAATTCACTTGTTTATTATTATAAAAAATACAAATACTTGGCAGAAAATCTGGGAAATAAAAAAAAAATCATGAGTATTTTTCTCTGAAAAAATTCTTACTAAAATGAAATCAACAATAAAGTTTTCTAATCCCTTCTCATCTATTCTCCTCTTGGGATTCTGGGTGCACCACGCACACACTCCCAGAGTGAGTTTCAAGCTGCCAGGACTGGGACTCAAACCAGTGTCTTAACCACTATGCCACCTACTGGCCCCTTATTTCTGTATCTTAATGGAAGGTTCGTAATTATTAGTTAGTTTACAAGTGGAGAATTCTTTATCTTCCATTTTAAAGAAAGTGAAACAAAAAAAGGTAACAAAAAAACCTAGGAATTTATAGGAAAGAGTATTAGGGAAATGATGCATTGAATGCATCTCTCTTTAAGCTGCTGAAATGATTTAACTAACTAGCAAGCAAAATGAAGGGTGAGTAGCACTATTTTGTTATTAATTTAGTAATGTATTCATTATATTTACCTAGTGTAGAGATGTATATGTGTAAGTGTATATAAAAAACTTTTTTTGGGGGGAGAGGTTTTTGCTCTAGGGAGCATGCACTCGCCAGAAACAGAGGGAACCAGAGGGACAGAAAGCAAGAAATCACCCTCCAGGGGGGATGGTCATGCCACAATCCCTTCTCCTCCATTCTCCTCTCGGGATCTTGGGCACACATGCATATGTGCCTGGTGTGAGTTTAAGCCACTGGGTCCGGGACTCAAACCATGGTCGACTACATGGGAGTCCAGCGACATAACGATTATGACATCTTCTGGTTCCTAAAATTTACTACTCTAATCATAGCAACAATTCCTCTAATTTTCAATTATCTTTGGAAAGATTTTTAAGTTTTATAGTGGCTTAATAACAGATGTTTCTTTTTCTTTCTTCTTTCCGTTGTTTTTTTTTTTTTTTTTCAGTTTTGCTTTGGCACACATGTTTACCGCTTACTGAGAGAGCGAAAGTGAGAAGTCATCCCCCTGAGGGATGCCCAGGCTGCAATCCCTTCTTCATTCTCCTCTAGGGATTTTGGGCACACTTGTGCCCAACAACATGTATTTAAAGCCACTGAGTCTGGAACTTGTAGTGCTCAGTTGGCCATGTAGGATTCAGGCATTTTTAACCTCTTTGCCACCTGCTGGTCCAAGATGTTTCAACACTTCATTTAGTATCATCTGAATCGAATTTAGGATTACAAAAATAATTACACGCTGATTTCACTTGAATCATAGTTAAATTACCACAATGTATGTGATTTATCCAAGAATGCAAAGCAATGGTCTTACCTGGATATTGTCATAGAATAGAACATCAGGAACTTTCATTTTCTCATGGGCATTATAGATTGGTGCACTAACACTGCCAATCCTCAGAGACCCAGACGCCACTTCACCTAAACATTTCACACAAGGCACAGAATTACTCATAGCACCATCCTCAGAAAAGCCAAGCCAACCAACACAGCATTTTTTTTTTTCCCCAACACAGCTTCTGTAAACACCTGCGGGCTCTTTAAGGGATTTTAATTTAACATCTACAGAAATAAGCCTGAAAGTGGTAATAAAACACCACGGTTCTATGAACAGCTTAAAATAGTCCAAAATGTAATAAAATTTTATTTAAAACATTGTAGAAATAGCAAACAACATAGAGATGGGATTGAGAGGGAGATTTAAAACCCAGCACACAGTTAAGCTACTTCCATGGCAAATCGTCTGGTCAGAGATGATAACACATACCTAACCCAAATATAAATTCAAAACCTCAGAAGTACCATGAATATTATTTTGGGGCTTCCCTTAAAAATGACTACAAGATAATTCCTTTGATATCTAGTAAAAAAAAAAAATACAGATAAACTGACCTCTCACAGACCTCTTAAATTCCCGTCTTCAGGGATGGTCCCAAGATCCATATGTTCAAATAAGCACACAAGTAATTCTGACACCCAGACAGGCTGGGAACCTCTGTCTTACAAAATCAATTATTCTGTAATAATTATTATTGCACTATTTCCTATGGCTTTAAATAGGCTGGCCTAGAACAGATTATGAGCTCCTTAAAAGTAGGAAACTAAACATGTCAAAGGCAGAGAACACGTCACATGTATATCTTGGACAGTAGCCAGCTACACATGTTCACTGCCTGCCATGTTCTAAAATAAATAATAATTATAAAATAGTAGTAGTTATTAAAACAGTAATGCTGACCAATCAACAATAGTTATAATTTATTAACTATAAATTAATTATAATTAATTATATGTGCCAAACTAGGAGCATCATCTCATTTTTTCTCATATAGTCTCATATAACTCTCTTAACAATAGGGCAAGAACTATGAGGGGGACCAGCAGTTGGCATAATGGATATGTCACTAGACTCCTATGTAGTTGACTGCGGTTCAAATATTGGACCCAGGGGCTTAAACTCACACCAGGCGTGTGTGTGTGTGTGTGTGTGTGTGTGTG